TCACTTAATAGATAAATTATTTTTAATTTCCAGATCACAGTTCTCTATCAAAGCACTTCCTGTTTAAGCGCAACTATGTAACAAAATATAGAGAAGTATAACTGTCAGTCGCAGCTAGTATTTGATGGGCAAGAATAATATCATTTATTTGAGTTGATTAAAACAATTATTTATTTGCATATACATGTGTATATTGAATGCCACATAATTACTAACCTAAGGTGTTACCTTGCAAAACACAGTTGCAAATATTATTGCGAGTGATTGCAACCTTGGAAAACACTATTCATCACACAAGTGTTTCCTAAGCAACGATGGCTATATATAATTCCAATTGTAATCAAATTTCACTTGTGTTTATGGTTTCAATTGCTTCCTTTCATCAGTGTTCTTCCAGACTGCTTGAAATCCTTTTGTAAGGAGATAAGGAAGCAAGATGCAGGTAGAGAAGAAAGAAGAGTGGGAAGAAGAGCTATTTAGTCACAGGACATTTAACTACCAAAGAAGAAGTTTGCGAGAGTTTTGTAAGGCTATTCTGGTCTAGAAATGACAAGTGTCATACAGCACAAGAGACAAGATGGAAGTGCCTATTATTTCAGTCTGTCCGAGGACTCATGTTGATACTGGCTGCTGTTTTACAAAGGGTACAATTCTCTCCTGTTCCACCGGGCATGGTTCCATCATGTTAAACAAACTGCAGTGAATTCATGAACAAACTCTGCAATTTAGTCCCTAAAATGTTTGAATTACATTATTTAGAAAGGCATCAACATTTATACATCGATTGCCATGTTGCTAGTTTAGGCTAAGGGAAAGAGACATTTTGCATTTCCCTCCAAATGTCCATCCTTTTTATGTTTTTTCTAAAAGCAATCCCTTTCTGTTCCATGCTGAACTCTCTGGATACCCTTTGCAGTAACAGACAACAGGGTCAGTTCAAGGCTTCCCATTGCTTGTGACAGAACAGCAAATGGGACACTCTTATCCTTCAAGTCAAGCAGCCTAGCATCCAAGGTCACCCATGTTACTGTGCTGCATGGAGAGAAAACCCAAGCATCATCCTCTTTGTTCATTGTTTTAGTAAAACTGTAAGAACAGCATACCTAATAATTTGCTGATCAAATGTGGGACAGAAAATATGCTGACTTCTCTTTATCTAATGGGAAGGCTGGCCCTTAATATGAGTCTTGAGTTGAATTATATGATGTGCTTTTCATGAATAAATCAGATGGTGAACGCAGGTGGATGGATCTCTTCTTTTTGGTAAGGCTTCTCTGCAGCTTCACTCATTTCAAAAGTCTCTAGAGTGACACTTGGCGATCTGTAAAAATGCTAAGTTTGGAACTGCCATTTTATTTTCTTGTAAAGAACCAATGTGTGATTTGCACAAGTCAGCTGGAGATGGATCCTGAACTTTGTATAACACTATAGCTCAGATTTTACACACAACCTGCTTACAATGTAGTTTTTGCTTTAAAAGTCAAATAATTTTCCAATGGATTGTACTCAAACATCATCTACCCAGATAAAGATCGTCCTTGAATTACAACCGTTTGCTTAGTGACCGCTTGAAGTTACAATGGCACTGAAAAAAGTGACTTATGATCATTCTTTACCCTTACGACTGTTGCATTACCAAAATTTGGATGCATGGTAACTGGTTCATATTTATGATAGTTTCCTGGGGTCTTGTGATCACTTTTTGCAGCTGTCTGACAAGCAAAGTCAATAAGGAAGCCAGATACATTTAACAACTGTGTTACTAATTTAACAACTGATGTGATTCACTTATCAACTGTGGAAAGAAAAGTGGTAAAATGGGGCAAAACTCACTGGAAATGAAAATTTTGGGCTCAATTGTGGTCGTAAGTTGAGGATTACCTGTACTTCATCTATCAATTATTCTTTACAATTGTATTGCCCATTTTATCAGGGACTCAGGGAAGTGTTTATGTCTCTTCCCTCTTCCAATTATATCCCTGGTAATTTGGAGAGCAACAACTGGGCCAAATTTACTGTTGAATGGAAGTTGAATTTAGATCTCCCCAGTTCTAATTCCATGCCCTAACTTCTACACCACACTCCCCATTTTTATTTTATTTGAAGTTGGTTCTTTTTACTATGAATTGTTAAACAATCATCATCAGTCCTCCAGATGATTAACAAAATCATTACTTGCTTGGACAATGTTTCTTCCCTTCCTTTTTAGCTCTGCTTTTGTACCTAGCACCTTGTGCTTTGTATATCGTCTATGAACTCGAGGACACAAAATCAAGCCAGAATAAGAAAAGAAATTACCAACAAATCATATATTTTTATAGTACTTTACAGGAAAAAGATATATTTGACTTGAAAAGAAACCAGGGTATTGTAGCAAATTACAGTAAGCCACAATTGGGTTTAGTAAACTTGCACTTACTAAAAATAAACCGTGTTTTATTCACTGCTTCTATGAAAATATCACACTAAACCAAAAAACACACACATCCCATTATGGCTTAATGTGGTATGTGAACCAATCATCATGGCTAGCTGCTATGTATATATCTACTCACTATGACTTATTCAGCAACAATAGTTCAAATAGTCATCATTTAGCTTTGGATATATATGCTAGGACCAATATTAACTTCACATTTTGGGGGCTGGCCCAATATGTTTTCTTGCCTGTGCGGACAATAGGACAGTATTTTTACTATCCTAAATAGCTGTGTTTCAGTCAAAGAACAGGGAAGCAAATGACACAAACTCATTTCTCATATAATTGGCCAGTACTTACTCACTACACCACCAAATTGCTAGCCATTCCATAGCAGCTGTAACTGCAGGTGACTAGTTTACTTTATTTGCCTTTTTACAAAGCAGTCCTTACTTTGTAAGTGTTGGCTGGGTGAATTTGCAAACATCTATCCACTTTCAGTAATAATACTACACAGGATGTCTCATTATGTTAATACATGCCTCAATGCGTACAAACACAAACATAAACACACATATACTATATATCCACATAGGCTCAGAAACACAGAGACCTTCGTTTTGAATAAAATGGAAATTCTGGATCAGGCTGCAGCAGGAAGAAGTTAATGATTCACTTTTCTCCCTGTCTCTTAAGGCAATTGTTATATCTGTTATGATGATGTTTTAACTGCTGAGATAAATGACAAGGTTGACAGAAAGATAGAAAGAAACCACTACAATGTCAGTAATAATTGAGTGGAAGAGATAAACATGCTGAGCCTGGTATGTAACAATCCAAACGAGTGAGTAAACTTAATAAATAAATATTAATGGTTCTGCATTAAGATATGTTGCCATCACCTTGAATAAAATCCACAATTGAATAGCAATATAATGGAAGGAATAAGTGGAAAAGCCCAGGGTAAGTAACTGGGCTGGGGCAGAAAGACAGGAGTAAAGGAAGGACAACATTATTCTTCTTGAGAAGCTACTTCTACCACCTTTTCTCCTTCCATAAAGGGGGAAGCCAAGATATTTATATGAACTAAGAACCCTATAATGAATTTGTTTACTTCTCTTTCCTCCACATCATCATTTTTCCTTTTGTGTTATTGTAATTGTAATCTTGAGGGCAGAATTAAGTAACTAATTTATTGATTTGGAAACTACATTGAGTAATTTAGAGAGAGGGAGATAGATAGATAGACAGACAGATAGCTATCCTAGATAGACAGACAGATATTGCATTGCTCTAAACTTAATTGAGACGAGATGTTGTACAGATAGTCCTCAACTTAAAACCACAATTGGGACCAGAGCCTCTGTCACTAAGCAATGTGGTTGTTAAGTGAGTTGTGCCTAATGTTATGACCTTTTTTGTTCTATTGTTAAGGAAACCATGTGGTTGTTAAGCAAATCCATTGACGTTGTGTGTAGGAAACCCCCCTGAGAATGTTCCATGTGGCACTCACATAATCCTGGGACAACCCTGCAGTTGTCGTAAACACATTCCAGTTGCCAAGCTTTTTGATCATGTGATTATGGGAACACCATTGTTAAAACAAAAATCTTGTTAAATAAGTCAAGGACTACCTGTAATTCATGCTTCTGACTATTTTGAAGTACCTTGATGCAACCGAACCTGCAGAAAATCTTCTGCTACAAATTTCAAGAAATTTTAATTCAGTTCCAGTTTGAAAACATGCAATTGCAAGTAGATAAATAGTGGGAAGGTAACAGCATTCTGTGTGCCTTGTGTGCATTCTGGGCACACAAGTGTCTTTGGATAACAGTGGTTCCTCAGCTAGGAAATGGAGATGAGCACTGCCCCTAGAGTTGGACGTAACTGGACAGTGGAAAGCTTTACCTTTTACCTATATTTTTTTTCAACTAATAGGAATTCTAAAAGCATACCTGCAAACCCAGTAAGATCTTATACACCTTGCTGTTGTGCACTAATAATAATAGTACAGGTATGCAGCACAAAGGCATTGTTTAATTGCAACTGTGCATATTTTGGGGTCCCTTCCATTTTATCTTCACTGCAATCCATCCTGTAAGTTGGGTTAAAATGAGGCATAATGAAGGCACCACGGCACCTAATGAGTGTCAACGGCAGATGAACACACAAACCCTTCTCCCAAAGGTCCTTTTTCATGAGGCAACTGGACTTTCTTGTTTTTTCTTTGAAGACGTTTCGCTTCTCATCCAAGAAGCTTCTTCAGCTCTGACTGGATGGTGGGGAATGGTCCAGTCAGAACTGAAGAAGCTTCTTGGGTGAGAAGCAAAACATCTTCAAAGGAAAACAAGAAAGTCCAGTTGCCTCGTGAAAAAGGACCTTGCCTGGATGACTGAGAATCTCCATAGACACACAAACCCTTCATTTCTCTGGTCTCAGTGTAGCCCACTAACCACAGCAGGTGGTGGTCAAAATTTCTATACTGATTTTATTTTAAAAGGTATAATCTTCCAAGAATAATATTTTGAACTGTTTTCATCTTCGTTTGATAAGATTGGAAATTAAGACTTGGGTACAATACCTTGGCTTTGTCTCTCATCGAACCTTTACCAAGGATAGACATTTTTGCACCCGTTTCCTCTTGTAACCTTTTCAAGGAATTTCCTCTTGGACCAAGGAGTTTGCCCACAAAATTAAACTAGAAAATAAAGAGAAAAAAGGGATAAATATTAGAAAATATTTCCTTTTTTTGAAGTGCAGAGAAATCCTGACCGAGAAAATAGGATCCAGAAATATCATTTCTCTGCAGTCCCAAATCAACTATATTTTATTTATTCATCTCATAGCTATCCTACCTCATTGTAACGACTCTTGACTGCCTAGACAATATAAAAAAAAATAATTAAAGCATTCACTGTAAATCTCAAAAACTGTGTACAATTTAATGATACAATAAAACAAAATAAGGAAAAAAATATAAATGAAAGATGGCACAGTCCATAAACTCAATAGAATAATCTCTAAAATAGTTCATTTTTTAACATTCTCCCGAATAATGTTAGGGAAGGGACTAATCTGCTCTCTGCTTGGAGGCTGCTGTAAAGCAGTAGCTTCATTCTTCCTCATTTCCCAGAAGTACAGCTATTCCAAGGAATTTCTCTCTAGATCATCTAGTTGGCTGATTCTATAGATATGCAAAGTGGTAAGGAGGAGCTTAATCTTTCCTTAATAATATGTGGACCTGTTTATCACTTTCCAAATTATTTTCAAAACCATTCACAAGTAAATTAAAAGCATATCAGCATTAGCATACCACTTAGATTTATATTACCAACTAATAGATATATGTACAAATTGCTTAATATATAAAAACACCTTTCTCTTATAAATGTTTGTTACCCCCAACATATTTACAGTTAAACAAAACATGAATGTAGTGACATATCCAACAAAATATCAGTAGCACATGCCTGTCTGTCTGTCTGTCTGTCTGTCTGTCTATCTATCTATCTATCTATCTATCTATCTATCTACTACACATGGGGAGCTCAACGTTGCGCACATCAGCTTTGGCCTTGCGTATCTCTGCAGCAGAGTACAGGTAGTCCTCGACTTACAACAGTTCGTTTAGTGACTGTTCAAAGTTACAGCAGCACAGCATAAGTGACTTATGACCCTGTTTCACAGTTACAACCTTTGCAGTATCCCTATGATCATGTGATCAAAATTCAGATGTTTCGCAACTAGTTTATATTTATGACGGTTGCAGTGTCCCCAGGTCCTATGATCACCTTTTGCGACCTTCTGACAAGCAAAGTCAATGGGGAAGCCAGATTCACTTAACAACTGTGTTACTAACTTAACAACTGCAATGATTCACTTAACAACTATGTCAAGAAAAGTCGTAAAATGGGGCAAATTCATTTAACAAAGATCTCACTTAACAACAGAAATTTTGGGCTCAATTGTGGTCTTAAGCCAAGGACTACCGGTATGCTGCTCCAGTGTAGTGCGCATCTGGACATGTGAAACAAGTTGATATTGCCGTCAATGAAGCTTAGTGAAAGGTTGTCTCAAATCTACACCAATTGAGAAAATATATCCTCTCACTGGGCATTGCCCCACCTAAGATCAGGAGAGAAGTAGCAGCAGATGCCGAGAGAACTAAGCAAGGGAATGATCCTTGATATCCTCTGAAAGGAGAGATGCCCCATGCCCACCGACTCAGATATAGGAACAGATGGCAGGAACAAACATTTTTGAGGTTACTCAAGAACAAAATAGAATTTAAAAATGGAGGAATGAGACCATCGAGCAAGGTAGTGCTTTTTTTGTAAGAAAAAAGGTGCCGGAACTCACATCTTGTTAATCTTTTATTTAAAAAATTATATATTCAGTTCTTAACATATATTTAATTTATTGTATTTAAGGCAAATGTTCAAAGTAAATTTTAAACTAAAAATTAAAAAAAGATTTTCAATACAAAATAAACATTTTTTAAAGTAAAGAAATTATTTACCTTTCACACATAGTCAATCACTGTACACACACTCACACATGTCAGTTGTGTAATGAAACATAATGGTTGCCGCCCACAGTAAGCACTCAGCACGTGATCACACAACCAATCACAAGCCGAGCAGTGCCATCACAACCAGCGCGGATGAAATACGCATGCATCGGACTCGACACAAAAGCAGCCTGCATGCACCGTTTTAACGATTTTGCCACTGACCTATTATACTCGACAGGGCGATTCAAGTCCACGTGGATCAAACATCAAATTTTCAAAAGTTACTTTTAAAACTTGGAAAAATCTGTCAAAGAAAGGTGCCGGAACTCTGTTCCAGTGCATTCTATGACAAAAAAAGCACTGGAGCAAGGAATAACATTAAAGGAGGATATGGCTGAAGGATCTGACTTCCCTTATATTACTTGGAGGTCCCTAAATAGGTTGAGAGTTGGAGTGCCTAAAGCTATAATTAATATGCTCAAATGGAGGCTCTTAGCGGATAACAACACACTACGTGAATGTGGGGGAAACACAGAATCTGGCCCATCTGCTGGTATGTCGGCTACTACTAGAAATAGGTACCAATAATGACTTATTTTTGGCCAACGACAAAGCCAAGAAGACGGCTTTATTCTGGCAGTTTAAAATTTGATCTAGGCATGGAAGAAGAAGAATCTATTATCAACCTATGAAATCAATTTATATTCAAAAAAATTAACACTGCATTGCAATAATTATACCAATCTTTCATGAGTAATTCACTGGCAATAATCTATTTTAATCAAAATCCAGACTTCCTTTAAACAGCCGTTTTAAAGCAGCCAAAGAAGCGGGGAACGTCAAATGTCATTTCTGTAAACTGATTTGCCATTTTCTATTTACTGAGACAGCTTGAGCCTAAACTATCTTCATTTCTGTGCTGAAATCACAATCCCCAGCATTCCCAGCCAGCAGGGGCCAATCAGAGAGTGAACAGAATATCAAGATTAGCCAATCACCAAGTCTCACTACCGTCCACTGCAGGAAACTCCTACTGTGCCTTCCCTTCGAAAGAGATGGCCGTCCAGCCCACAGAAATCCAGCATTTCCTGAAACAATCTGTGGCGCAGTTGAACCATTATTACCATTAGTTAGTTTTTCTTGATATTCAACCAAAACCCACTTCCCTTTCATTTAAGCCCATTCTTTTGGTTTTGATTTATAGCAACTTCAGGAGGGCCATCAATTCCCCTGCTCCTAGCATAAATAAAACTGGAAATATCTCTGTGACAGATCATGAATTACAGCTCCACAACAAACGGTTCTTTCTCTTCAGCTCACCTGCCAAAAAAGCTGGCAGGAAATTTTTATTGACTGACTTTTCGACTTCCAGTGCTAAACTCCCATACTGTGCTAAAGGAAATTCAAATTCTCCGTAAGATCTTCGGGATATAGAAGGAATCAGTATGCCCCCTCTTGTCTTTTCTTAGGCAGCTAAGAATTTCAGTCTGTCTGTTTTGGGTCACCTAAATTCAAATATTTCCTCATAAACTACAGGCAGTCCTTGACTTACATCAGTTCACTTAGTGACCAGTTGAAGTTACAACAGCATTGAAAAAAAGTGATTTATGACCATCTTTTAGCCTTATGACCATCTTTTAACATCCCCATAGTCACGTGATCAAAATTCGACTGCTTGGCAACTGGCATGTATTTATGATGGTTGCAGTGTCCCGGGGTCATGTGATTCCTTTTGCGGCCCTCTGACAAGCAAAGGCGATGGGGAAGCCAGATTCACTTTACAACCGTGTTACTAACTTAACAGCTGCAGTAATTCACTTAACAGGTTTGGCAAGAAAGGTTGTAAGATGGGGCAAAAATCATTTAAAAACTGTCTCGCTTAGTAACAGGGCTCAATTGTGGTTGTAATTCGAGGACTACTTATAGTTTGAAATAATATGTATTTTTTAAAAAGAATCAGTTGTAGGAGAAAGTAAAAAAAAAGTTCATTCTCCTTTCAATGCTGTACAGCGACGGTAATTTTTAAAAAATCATTGGAAAAAAAAATCAGCAAAGTTCCATGAGCAGTTTCAGTTCGTTCTCATCTTTCGGAGATCTTTCTCTGAAGTAAATTGCTAATTACTTTCATAGAAGCTTTCTTCAAAATAATTGTTCTACCAAAATTTGTGAGATGTTTATGATTTTTATAATGCAGGCATTAATCACAGTGTAGTGATGTAGAATTAAGAAAGAAAAAAAACCAGCACCATTTAATTTTAAGCCAATGTGGAGATTGCTATAATGCAAAGTCTATCAGTGGTTTTATGAAACATTTTTAATTACCTGATCAGCCTCTTTTATGTATTATATATAACCTGGATGACACTCAAATTGGAAGAAACTTAATTATTTCAAAAATCTAATTATAGGGTGCACTATAACTCATTGGAATTTTGTTATCATTAATAGCAATTATAATTAAAACAGTACTTACATAGTGATTTGCATGTTCATAACGCAATGCAAACATTAATTTTCTTATTCAAGTCAGACCTATATTCAAAAGAAACTACTTATTTTAATTTTACTGAGGTTCTCTTGCTCATTAGCATATCTTTAAAGAGGCCATATTCATTTGCAAGCAGCTCTGTTTCAACAGAGACAGCTTAAACACTTACATTTTCACAAAAACTGAAGCATCAGAATGAGGAAATGGGTTGAAAGTGCTGATGTTTCTTTGCAACATTACAATTACAAGTGGGAATAAGTCTTGTGTGTCAGAAGACTTTCAGTCTTACTATGCATCAGCTATCTCAATTAATCAGCATTCCTGGAAGAAGCATGTTCCTCTTTGATATTCAGGAGTCACATGATCCACGATAATTACTTTCTTCCAGGGCCATTGCCTGATCTGCAACTATAGATCCTGTAGAATACAATGTTAAGGATAATAGAAGGAGGAGGAGGAGGAGGAGGAGGAGGAGGAGGAGGAGGAGGAGGAGGAGGAGNAGAAGAAGAAGAAGAAGAAGAAGAAGAAGAAGAAGAAGAAGAAGAAGAAGAAGAAGAAGAAGAAGAAGAAGAAGAAGAAGAAGAAGAAGAAGAAGAAGAAGAAGAAGAAGAAGAAGAAGAAGAAGAAGAAGAAGAAGAAGAAGAAGAAGAAGAAGAAGAAGAAGAAGAAGAAGAAGAAGAAGAAGAAGCAGCAGCAG